CGCATTTGGCAGGATCAAGGCAGACCCGGCAGGACCACCGTATTTGTTGGCCATACTTTGTACGGCGGCAGGGAGACTTTCGCTTTGCCATACGCTTCCGACAGTTGTGTTGTATGGCGATGGTCCTGCTCCGAAGTCGAGAAGTACATCCACAAGTATCACCCGAGGGAGAGTGGAATCTAGGCCAAACGTTCCCACGTCTCCTAGAATACGGATTTCTTCATAGCCCCCCATAATCAGCGATCCTGTCTGGCCCAATGTGATGCTTCCCAAATGCATGTACCAAGACCTATTGGCGATAAAGTTTTCCGACGTCATTTGGTCGGTGATGCTATAAATGTAGTTCGGATTGGAATGGTCGTAACTAAGCTCATCGCCCAAGCCAATCGTTCCGACGAGTGCGGTTTCGTTTGAGATGTTTGAGTATGCCGTCGGGTACACATTGGGGTTGTAAATGTCGATGGTAATGTCGGCCCAATAACTCCTCTTTACGTCGTTCATGCGTGAAAGCAGGTTCGTACGCTGTCGATATACCTTACTCATGGCATTCCTGTCAAGTCCGACAGGCCAGTCATCCATGAGTGCGACGGCGCTCGCGTTTGATTTGAGGACGCTTTCTCTGGATGCAGTACCGTTGTAGCTTCCCCCTTCTTCCACAGAAATCATCATGCTGTCTGTTGAACCCGTCGGCCAGAGGAAGTAAGCAATAGACCCGTGATCAAGAGACCCCGGCGTGTCCGAAAGCCCTATCGCTCGCCATGGTCCATCTGGGCCAAATGAGCTTGAATTGACCCCAATTCAGGGTCCGTTGACCAGTAAAGGCGCCGGTATTGGCCTCTCACGCATTTCATCCATGAGAGAATGACTACCAACAATATGCCGACACGCATCTCGATAGAGAAAGTCGATAGTGACGTCGGAGGAAAGATTCAAATTACCAGATAACAACTGACGGCTGGTAAGAAAAAGGAGAGACGGGGGATGTCCTTTGACAGTCTCAGGAGGGGGTCGAGAGGGCCGGTCAACGAAGCAAAATAAAAGTTCCCTCTTAGTCTAGAAGAACTGCAGGGATATCGGTATTACATTGTCGGGAAACAGTCATCTCCCTTAAGCCTCCTCGGAGGCGATGTTGCTTGGATGATTTTGAGTTGCATATGCATGTTGGAGCAGACAAAGCTGTTGGTTGGGCGGAGTAGGCTTGGCCGCCCCGTCACGGTGGCTGGGCCTGCGCATCGTGTGACAAATATCACGGGTATCAGGAGGCTTCCGTGGAGCGTAAAGAGTACTTGGTGGTCAAGTCTACAGGCGCAGGGCGGAAAAGCAAGCTGATAGTCAGGCGGTCGGTATCTTGGCAGGCTGCGGCGTAGAGCTGCATGTTGGTCCAGGAGTTCATACGGAGAAACATGGACGAAAGTTGCCTAAGTTGGCTATACTTTGGGTTCGATGGCATCATAGGAGTCCTAGATATTCCCATCAAAGGCCAAACAAGTTCTCCTGCATGTCTGTACCCACCAAACTTTGTCCTGTGCCTTTCCGTGTCTGCTCAGCTCTCGACCCAACACCTCCGAGACTATTCTCAAATAGTTCTGTTTTCCGAGGATTGTCTATATGCCCATAATCTATTCGGAACATTCAGGAGATAAAAAGCGTGCTGCGGCTTCCCTCGCTGCAGTGCCTCATAGTCTGAAGATAGCGGTGATATTTGTGTCACGAGGCTGGTGGGCAGACGGGTAGTCGCGCCGTACAAGTGATCGACGTCGCCGAGGGAACAGAGAGGGGCGAGTAACCAACCGCGCCGCAATCGTACTTAACAAGAGAGTTCAGTGATAAATCAACAGACTCGTATGCTCCAAGAATAGAATCAACTTCGAGCTAAGGCTACTCCTCCCTTTCTTTTGCATCTAGGCATGCAGCCGAGAAAGCCATTATGGCCGATGAAGGCGAAACTCGGCCGTAACAACGACTACCTTAACCTTCAAAGTCCGATCTTCCATTTCAAATACTTGAAAGAGTGTTCGTCGTACGCCTATCACGCCCACCGATATCATTGACCTTAAGAAGATAGCGGAGAAGTAAAACTATTACCATCAGGAGTAATGGACTTGGCTACTCATTTGGAGCAGGTAACTTGAAATTACGTTATCTATCCTAAAGCAAGATACCACATGTGTTGGCCTCAAAATGGGCAGGAACTTAGGGCCTTGAATAGAGGCAGCAAATACCCTTGGAATTGGCCATCACATAGATTCACTTGCCTCACCGATCATCAAGCGCGCAACAAGAAATGGCACCCGGGAGACTGGGCAGTTCAGTGTGGAAGGCTATCCACGTCGCCGAAGACCGAGTAAGGAAGGTAATTGATCGGATGGAGCTAGCAGCAGAAAGTCTGCTAGCACCTTAAAGACACGACCACTCATCCTCGGCACTGTAGTAAGACGAGTGCCCGATTCCGTTTTGCTCTTTGTGTGACACACTCGTTGGTATTATGTTGTCATTAGAATTCAGAGTTACTTAGATAGGTTTCGGCGCAGGAATCCTGAACTAAGAAATAATATTTCCCTTAATCCAACCAAGGTCTCATTTTGAACATGTAATCCTTACATTGCTTTACGCAACAAGGCCAGCAACAAATGCAGCCGCGGCCGGGGCATCTTGTTCGTAGTTCCTGTGGTCGGCAGTGATGATGATACCGCCGTCGCAGATGTTGTCGCCGTCATGGCAAATAACCTTGACCTTGGAGGCAGGGATGCTGCCAACAGGCTGGCCATCGAACGGGTCGCCGAAGATAAGGACTACATAGTACAAGTTGTCAGCAAGCGGATCTCTGAAATATTCAGATGAGGAATTCTGTAGACATACCAGCAGAGACACGGGCGGTCTGGGCCGCGGTGAGCTTGGACGCAGCGTTGTGGACGAGCTGGCCACCCTGGCTGTAGCCGGACATGACGATCTTGGTGCTGGGGCACTGGGTCACAGCCTGAGAGCCTGTTAGCTTGAAGAAACACCCTGCATGAAGGGTCTTGAACTTACGCGAGCAACCAAGTTGGCCATGGTGGTGCTGCCAGCTGCGTCGCCGCCGGCGAGGAAGCCGAGAATGCTAGCGGAGTAGTCGACACCCTGGACAGCCAAGTTGGAGGTTCCAACGAGACCGGCAAGGGCGTTGAAGAAGACGGGTCCCTCGGAGCCGGCCTCACCAACGTTGCCGGACTGGGTGGTGCCACGGGCCCAGATCAAGGTGACCTTGCGACAAGCCGTGCCGTCGGTGAGCTGGTTGAAGGTGTCGCCGTTGTACTGGCGCTTGGAGATCGCGGGGCTGAGAGCGGCGGTCTCTTCGGGCTTGACGGAGTAAGCGGCGTTGTAATAAGCCTCAAGCTCGGCAATGGGAAAGGAACCAATCTCGCTGCGAGCGACGGGAACGCTCTCGAGAGGGGCGGCGAGCGCCGTGGAGGCCGCGAGGAAGAGGAGGCTGGCCTTCATTGCGACGGTTCGGAGACGATGGCAGCTGCTGGACCTGGGTTGCTTTGAGAAGCAGGAGGGACTTGTCGGGCTTGGAGTCTGGAGCTCTGAAGATCCCTCGTGATATTGGATGCCGGGGAACAGGAGCTACTTTATATGCCCTCAACTCCATCTCCCGTAACTATGCGGAGCTTTGCACCAGTTCATGATCGAGATGGGCGCGCCTCACGCGCCGGGAGGGTTGCTGAGCCAAGCCTTGGCTGTCGTTGTTTGCTTCAGTCCCTCTCTCAGTTTGCAATGCGTCGCAGGGCCAGGACCAGCATCAACCACTGGTGTCCACCAACGGTGTAGCAGTGCGACTCGAAAGCTTGGCCCGAGCCCCATGTCGGCCGGTGCATGGCTTCTTGACGCCTGCCATCCAGTGCCATTGACCAGTCAGACGAGTGCAAGACCAGGAACGTCGGTCTTCGAAGAGGAAGCTGGGACGGCTGAAGCAAGTTTGCCCAATTTGTCCTGCAGATTGTCTAGCCCACTATAGCACCTCGGCCCGCACCGGTCTCCGTTTGTGCAGCTGATATTGAGTTGTCAAAACTCTTGGAGGATTCGTCGAGGGGCCAGCAGCGGCCACGGCCTGCGCGGATGACAGCTGTAGGTGAGGCCTAGAGTTGGAAGTGATCATCGTGACTTTGATAGTGACCCCATGGCGTCATGATGCAACCTGATAGGCCCGGCAGTTCGCAGTAAATCTCGGAACCGGGGGGGTGCCCACCAAGCCACCAACCTGTCATTGAGTCCCGTGGCAACTAAGGGTTGCGCTCACCGGCTCCCAGACGGGGTCAATGTGACATCGCCTCGGGGATGTCGGCCGATTAAAGGTAAGCATGTCGGCGTCGAATCCTGAATCGTAACGGAGTTCTGCCGCTCATCGCGGGGTAATCGGGGCGCTTGTGATAGGAGATTGGGGATTGGACATCATGAAGAACACGTGGGTTGCGAGCCGAACATTGACCTTCCACTTTGATGGTGGAGTCCCGCCCCCAAGAGCCTGAGGGTGGGAGCTATGAATAATGATGTACGACCGCCGGGCGGTAAAGCAGCTTGGCGGTAGGAAACAGATGCTCGACTGGCTTAATTGATGGCCTCTTTGGGAGTTAGCTGAAAGTTAAACATCGGGACCCGCCGAAAGCTTTGCATTGATTACATACTACAGGACAAAAAAAGGGTAATACGCGGCTCTAATTATGATATTGATGACTTGCGCAGTAAACCGGAAGTGGTAATATTGAGTTTCACTTCACAGTCTTTGCGAGTTGCAAGTCAGGTTACAGTGGGGTTTTAATGAATCCGGAACTAGATAAGAAGTTTCTTTGGTGGAGGTTCCACTCATCTTAGAATAATCCAGAGCAGCAATATCAATGACGAATTAGAAATAGTTCTCAAATAGCTTGCTACCATCAATAATCAGAAACCACATTTTGTCTCATTGTTGTAGATGTACTTCAGCCCAACGTACGTGACCAACCCCATTTGAACTCTCCTCAATCTCAGCCAATGGGACTCTTGATGTAGAGTTCAATGGACGGAATTGTACTCGAGTTACCAGGCATCGCAAACGTAATGTTCCAGAATTCAAAGCCGCTGCTTGATGTCAATAAGAAGTTCCGAGAAGCTTTCAAAGATTGATTGAACTCACTGAATGATTGAGCAGGTACCACCAACAAGGCCGCAGAATCCGATTCCCGGTTGTGGATTCACTGAGCCACCGACACTGACTTGTATCCCTTCAACATCGTCGAACCCAGAGATGTCTCTCTTACCGTCAAGGGGATTGGAGCTCACAAGAAATGTGAAAATGCTGGTAGAGTTGCCGCGGGGGTAAGACAAACTGAGATGCCCAGGACTAACATCTACATCCAAAGCGTGTTCAGTGCCATGAAGAATTGCGTACCCCACGCTGCCGTCCTTCCTAGCCCACTGCACCACCGCAGTAGACCATTGAGAAGGATCTTGGCGAGGACCACCCAGGGTATCCTCGTCATAAGATTCGGCTCCAATAGTGAGGTTGGCCGACAGCCAGGTTGTGATATTCCGGGGAACGGAATCGTGAGGGGGTGAGAAAGCAGCAGTCTCATACATGTGCTCACCAGGGAAATTGCTAAGCTTTTCCACAACTTCTGATGGTACGAGAGCATCATGGAAAGGCGCCAAGACAGAGATGAGCGGCGCGTATTCAAAGTCGTCTGCATGAGCCATGCTCCAGGTTTGTGAGATGCCAGGTGCCTTGTCTTTACCGACGAGAGACCAGATGTAGATGTTGATTATGGCGACATATTGGTTCATGTCAAAACCGTAAGTCCTATCCCATGGTCCGGCGACGTTGCGGAGATTGGCGTTGTACATTGAACCGATGGATTCCCAAATGGCCTTGATCATGCGAGCACCGTTCTGGCCCATCAGTGACGAGTCAGAAGGCATGTACTTGGCCCACAGGGTAAGCGAATAGATGCTGACGCCTGCGTACGTTGGGCTGTTAAATTCAGAGAGTGTGTTGTTTCGGTCAAACAAGTCTAAGATCTCTTGGGCGTACAGTTCGCCGGCAGCTGTCATGTTTGAGTCGTTGAGAGTACGACCTGTCCATCCGGTAGCGATGGCGCGCATGATGGCTGGGTTACTGTAAGAAGGGTATAGGTTGTCGTTATCAACTCCACCAACACGGTAGCTGTCTCCGATGGTGTTGTTGTACATGCTCTCAAGAATGAGATTTTGAACGTCGCTTGAAAGAAGATGCCTAAACTCTTCATAAATAACGATGAGAGTTGTGCCAATGAAACCTCGCCAATTGGGGTCCCAGGTATTGTAGATCTTCGGGAAGTGGTCAGCATCACAATCGAAATCTCGTAGATACGTGAATATAGGAATACTTACGCTTTTAGGATACGCGGCTGTGCCAACAGTTGGCTCCTCGGGGTAAACAGTGTAGTCTCCATACCTGAATAAACCTCTGGTGTAAGTCGAATTCTATTTCGAGACCCTTGATACAAAGGAAACTCACCACTGTTCTTCAGGAATCTTCTTCTGATCTCCGATTACGTTTCTGATGATCTTGGTAGCCTGCTCGACATCATCGCCGATGTTGCGCTGCAGGAGGCCAGTTGCGTACCAGACTGACGATCGTGTTTCGTGCTTTCCTGCCGCTAGTGGGTAGTAGAAGAAATACAGATAACCGGCTGCAGGGTCGTAGATCTTATCCAGGAAGTTCATGGACTCGGTGAACAAGTCCTTCGTGAAGCTCGATAACTCAACTGCAGCGGCCTGCTGCTTCTGGCCCAAGGCGCTGAGCAAGCCTACCACAACGAGACTCTTTGTCGACAACCACATTTTAGACGAAATACCAATGACTTTTGGGAGGACAGAGCGTTGGGATTCAACTGCTACAGATCCGTTTGACTAATCCTGCTCGACATCTTCACTTATAATGTACAGAATCCGGCAAAGACCGGTACGGCAGGATCGCAGGTCCATGCCGGCTTCGGCTTGACCGCGTCGTTCTTATGAGCGAACATCTCAGATCGTCTCCTCACAGTACATGCCATTATTACTACAGAGAGGGGGGGGGGGGGGCTTGTGGAGGCGTAGTCAATCGTGGGGGATCGCCCTTAGCTGGTGGTGTGCCGATTTCGATATTCCAACTAGCCTCTGTGTGCAAGTGCTGGCCCGTAGCGTGATTTGTACATGCATGCCGTTTAACCGAGAAAGCCACGATAGCAATAATGGTTTCTCTCGTCTTAGCTCGGAATCCTGCGATCGGCAGATAATGCTCGGACTCCCGCATGGAAATACCGGTCCATACACCGGACAGTTCCGGGCCGGTTGCCCGATCGGTGGGAAGCTCGAACTGGTCTTCTCAGTATGCACCACTACCGGCATTTGACAAGCCGGTAGATGGGAAACCCTCGGGTCAGTCGTGGAGCTGTATACAAGAAGAACGATTTGGATTCATTTCATTTACTGATAACACTCATACGGAGATGGAGGAGGTATTTAGTAACCTTCTTTTCGCCGACCTCGAATCGGCCAATGTCCGGAAACGCCAAGTTGTCGATCTCTATGGACTCTGGTCAAGTCACTCGACTGACTTAAGTTAAAGATTAATCACAATTGAGAACTAATAACTCAGGTCTACCTTCCCGCTGTTCTTACGAGTGTCCATCTGTGACAAGAATAAAGCTGCCCGAAGGGAATCTTAGACTCGGGAAGAAGTAATGTGATGATGGAAGGTCCCGCTTTAATGGCAACTGTCAACCAACATCAACGATTTGCTTCATTTCCTGATATGGTTTAGGCACCTTAAAATAGTACAAATAACTTCAGACATGGATACAAAAGTCAAGATTAGGGAGTCGTAATTCGCATTTCGTTGAATTGTTTATCCGAAACGGTTTTGTGTGCGCCGGGGGGTGGTACGATTGTAGAGATCACGCAACTCCCCACTATTGCGAGAGCAACAAATACACGACGCCTGAACTATTTAGGCAGTTGCTTCTTTCATCGTCCATACAAAAACATATACTTTCAATCATGGATACGGATGCCGGATTCGATACTTTTGTCATTGATGACTTCGGGCCGTCGGTACGGGTACAGGTGCCGAGCACCGCCGAGGGTCTCGCCCGATTCAATCAAGCATTTCTAGACCCACAGAAAAGAGCCTATGTGCAACATATCGATTTCCACATCGTTTTACCAACCATTAGTTACAAACGTATCAAGAAGATTCAGAGCAGCAAAGAGGCGGCGGAGAATGACGCGATATTCACAAGAGCTATTGTGACTTTCCTCAGCCGGCTGGCTAAGTGGGAACGTCGACGGTACGGCCCTGGTATCAGCCTGAAAATCGCGGTGGAGTCGCCAACGGACAGGATAGTGGAGGAGATGGAGGAGGACGGCGAACTGAGGAATACTCACAATCACCGGACTGCGCCGATATGGCAAGTAAGAGACCACTTTCGTTACCTGCATTTCGACCACAGCCTCTTACCACCATCCGACTCCGGCCTGGCAAAGCTACCGCATGTGCCGTGTGTGTCTGAGTTCGAGTTTGAGGGTGGGCCTGGTGGACGGAACTTTCATCCGGACGTAATTTCCACCATCTCAAGCACACTTGTATCTGCCAAGAAGATGGAATGGAATTTTAGACTCCCGACACGCCGATTGATGGATGCCCGCAAGGGCATCAGATCTGCCCTTGGGAACGCTCTACTCAGCACATCGTTTCCGAGCCTGATGGAGTTGAGGATCAAGGTTGACGACAAAGATCCCATGGACGAGACTTACACCATCGAATCGTTGATTGGCGACCACGAAGAAGAAGACACCTTGTCTCTAGGCGTTCGCCGCTTATGTCAACTTCCCACCCTTCGGCGACTACATTTGGAAACACTCTGGATCTTATCACCAGTAGCGTTTGGATCTCTTGAAAACCAGCCGGATATCCATTGCCCCTCCTTGGAGTACCTCTACGTCGACTGTTCAACAACGACACCTGGCGGTAAATACTTGCTTACCGGAGACCAAAGCAAAGCCTTGGCCGATGACGGTGGGTATGGCCTTGAGCACGACGAACAGGTTGCTATCTTCGATTCGGATGACTCCGACACCTCGGATTTCCAACCGGATTTTGAATGGTCCAGACAATCTGGCGAATTTCCGGGAAGATGGTTTAGATACACACCCGAACCAGAAACGTTTGCCCCGTTGGTTACATCATTTATAGGCGCTGTAGATAGGATGCAGTCACTACGTCGGATGGACGTCCATTTTGGCGGTACGGCAACGACAACGAGAGCGCCTTTGGATATGCTATATTTTGCACCTGGGGAACCGAATCGAGGCGCAAGTCAGCTCAATGGACGCAAAGCATTTGACGAGGAAAATGCAGGCCGCCCCAGGTGGTTCTTCCTTGGAAATCGCAAGTTTGACAAGCAATGGCATCTCTCTAAAGAGTTACAAGAGGCGTGCAAAGGAGAGTCTGGCTTGGGTCGCGTTCATTTTGCTACGAATTGATTGGAGCAGAGTTTCAGGGCGACGATCGCTGAGAAGGCCACTGCATCTACCTTTGACTACGTTTCCTTCTGCTACTCAATCGCATTACTGCCATGGCTCAAGTGTTTAAATTGCTTTTATCATGCTTGAAGATAATCTAATTCTCTCACGGGTCACAGTGACATATTATTGCCGGAGTTTAATCACATTCCTAAACTGAACTACGTCTCATCCCCATAACGTACCTTAATGAGCCCTGATTCCTCCCAATAATTCATGGAGCTTATTCCAGTACAGGGCAATTGACCTTGAATGGGAGAAAAATGGAAGTGGTAGGCTTCTTGCACGGATATATAATTGCCACTCATTAGCCAGTGGGGTTAACCAGCATGGGGCCAAGGTGGCCAAGACGTTGGAACAATGCCCGCCACAGTGATGCATATGCGTGAGCGCCTGTTGGCGGAATAAATACCCACTAGAAATCTTGGAAATGGCATGATGATGTATGCTACGTTTTACTTTTGGAAGAAGAGGGGTAATGATCAAACGAAAGCTATCGGCTCGTGACGAATCGAGGGAAAGGTTGGTGAGTGCTTGAAACTTAGATATTAGTAGTCCGCCTCCTTCCTCAACGTCAACGCTCACCAGCCGACCACCGATCACTCAGCGATAATTAGTCCACTTGCCGTATTGCAATGCCAAATCCCATGGCTCAGGTAACATACGCCTCCAATGCCGAGCCTTCTAGCCGACTGAACTCAACATTTCACAATATGCCTCCAGTGGACGATAACGAAGACCTGGTTGCAGACGAGGTATTACCAGACGCTTTGTTTTCGATGAGATCATTCTTTTCTGAATATTTGTTTAATTCAAACAGGTCACTGAAGATGTTAGCTCAGTTTTCGGCAACGTAAGTTAGGTAGCATTGGCATATCTCGTGCTCCCATCTTCAGCATGTGCAGTGAATTATAGCTGATGCCGAAGCAGAGTACCATTGCATCATCCGCTACAAGCGTGGCAATCTCAGTGCTTGATTATCGTCTCGAAAACGGACGAACATATCACAGATATAAAGATGGCAGTGCGTGCTAAGTGAAGATACTTGACCTCAAGCATAGTGATGCTGAGTGATTGTAGAATATTACGTCCCCAACGACGAAAGGGAGAAAGACAGACTCGGTATGATTTTGGAACTCATAAGACTTATTGGAAAGACTGTACTGACGAACAGTAGACTTACAGCACAACATGTTCCTCCTCATGTTCGAGAACAAGCTTGGGTCCGCCCCGCCGAATGAGAAAGGTACAAAAGTTGGGCGGACACTAGATCTTGGCACTGGAAGCGGGATATGGGCCATGGAGTTTGGTGACGAACATCCTGAAGCGGAGGTGAGCAGTCTGATCCTCTCATCTATCTACATGGTATTTGAACTCACAGGAGTGCTCAATACCAGGTTCTTGGTATCGATCTTTCTGCAACGTGGCCCAATTAGTACGTCGTCAAGCCGTACTAGTTTCGGTTCATATGGTAGAGTAGCTGACTAGCTTTCAGCGTGGGACCGAACGTGAAATTCATGATAGATGACATTGAGGAGCCCTGGACCTATGCCAAGCCATTCGATTACATCCACAGCCGCATGATGGCGTCTTCCATCGGCGATTGGGAGACGTACATACAGAGATCCTATGAGTCAGTCAGGAGGAACCTTCCTCTATTTCTTTGCTAACAAAGTCTACATGTAGCAACTTGAGTGCTGGCGGGTACTTGGAACTCATTGAATTCGACATCATTCCCACGTCCGACGACGGAACGTTGAGGAAGGATTCCGCAATGTTGAAGTCATCTCATATGATCAAAGAAGCTGCAGCAATATTTGGACGCCCATTCCGGGATGTTGTGGGACTAGCAGACCTGATGAGGGGCATTGGCTTCAGGGATGTCCACATCAAACGATTTAGATGGCCAACTAACGCATGGCCTAAAGACCCCAGACATAAGGAGCTGGGACTTTGGAATAACGAGAACATCACATCTGGATGGGAAGGCTTCTGCATGGCGCCGTTTACGAGAGCGTTGAACTGGACGAGGGAGGAAGTTCTGCTACTCATGGACCAGGTTCGCCATGAGTTCAACGACAAGAGCATTCATGCATACTTTAACGTGTAAGGAGAAATTTTGAATCGTAGATAGACCTTTGCTAACAGTGCTTAGATGGTCGATTCACGGCAGGAAGCCTACGGCAGAAGAAATAGACTTTGGGAATGATAACTGAGTGATTTCTGGCATCCGAGAATGGTTTATCTGTCAGTGCTGGTCCCCGTTGGTTCTCATCTTCGGACTTATGTCCACTTCCTTGAGCACGAATCCGAATGTGGTCAAAGACTAGACGCGAACTGCGGCAGTCTTGGGCCGCAGAGACTGGTGCGTGGGTTGCTAGTTGAGATTGAATTTAGACTTGCATCTATAACGCAGTTTTGTTACACGTTGAATTGTTTCAGACGAAGTTCTGATGAAGTTCTTCTGACGATTAGGCAGAAGTCCGTTTTAAACTTTCTTTTGTTGCTTAAGTGTCAGAATTCACCACCTTTACTCGCCAGTCACTCGGGTTACTGGCTGCGCTGTTCACGTTGTCCACCTCCATCAATTATGGTGCTTCAGGTGCTCAGTAATACTGTAAACAGTCCCAAATGATGCCAGATATGATCTATCATGCCCGCCCGATCTCGTTAAACTAGTATCCTGTGACTCTTTGGAGTGACTGATTATAGAAACAAAACATTCTGTGGCGCCATTCGGTCAAGCTTGAAATAAGCATCTGGGGATTAAGCGGTCTCGGTTGAGACTGCCGTCTCGGAGACTTGGCTCTCTAACCCTTATTGGATATATGCTTTTCGTCCAGTGTCGCAGCCTTGGCGGCTTCTTCCCGTCTGGGATGCAACATGTTCCCGACTTAAAGTTTATTCTGGGTCTCTCTTTTTCGGGGAATTTGGACACACACCCTTCCGACGTCGACTTGCTCACGCGTGCTTTCACAAGTCCCAACGCTGTGGTTCCGGTGCCCTCGGGTCCCCCGATTCATGCTTGGAGCGATCATTCTCCAGCTTTCTGTAGGTAGTCCTCCTTGCAGCTCGACGCCCGCCAATGACATATGGTCCTCGGTTTCATCCTAAAACAACTTGCTCTGCCATCATCTGAAGTCAATTTCTCCTGAGTGTTCTCCAACGGACATTAGAGTTGGTGATTTTCCGCTGATCGCAGGGAACGTCTTGGCAATGACAGATCCCCGGAAACTGTAGGCGAGTCGGAGTGTAAGCCATATGACTCGCCTGATGCTGCTGACGACAGCTTCATTGACTAGAAGTCTCCGAGTCTGCATGATCAAGATTACACCATCATTCAGTGTTGGGACCTTCCAGCCAAGTGAACTAGGTTCGACTGCGACGTTTACGTCGTCTGAGATGCCGCTTCACCAGGGACCACCTCATGAGGTCGGTCACTTAGCAATGGAGTTGCTAGCTATTCAGTATCGTGATTTGGTCAGAGAAGATGAGTATAAAACCATTGGTAAATCCAACTGCATTCCACGGTCTGCTCCAGTCATCACACCACCCAATTACTACTTTACTGTCTCTTCCACAATATCCGACAGGATTCGGATCTCTATCGTTTTACTTACTTAATCTCATAAGACAATCATTCAGTCTAACTCTTTACATCATTCAAGATGCGTCTTACACTCGCTTTCCTTCTCTTCTTGGTTGCCCTCACTGTGGCTCTACCAGTGGCCAATCCCGCCAACAACAAATCCCCCACTACCAAGGCAACCACTAAGGCAACCACCAAAGCACCCACCAAGGCAACGAACGCAAAGCCCTCTTCTGATAAGAAGAAACTGGAGAAGGGCATCAAAGATAATCTTAAAGCCGGCGACAAGGAGATCTCTGCCACTGAGAAGGCACAGAACGCTGCCAAGAAGAACGACGCCAAGGGCCTGAAGAAGGACGAGAAGAAGATCAATAGTGCTTTGGATGAGGCAACTAAGGACCGCCAGAAGAACCAGAAGATTGCTGGTAACAAGGACCCTGCCCTGACCAAGGGACTTGGAAAGGTCGAGAATGCGCAGAAGGGTGCGAAGCAGACAGTCAATGGCTTGACTGGTGACCCTAAGAAGGATAAGGGGTCGTTGGACAAGCTCGATGCTACTTTCAAGAAGGGCAAGAAGACTAATGAGGAGAACCTGAAGGAGGTAAGTCATACCACATATGATACCTAAGCGACTTTGACTAATACCGCTCGATTAGGCCAAGAAGAACTTCAACTAGTTCCTGTGTGAAGGTTGATGGACAGATGAATTGACTCTGATAGGTTCAAATGCTTGGTCCATTGTTGCAGGAAACTTGGAAAACATCTGTGTTTTCTAGTTCTAAACAGAATTACCACAGTTGAAATCTCTTCCAAACAAATTGAGTTTTGAGACTCTCGAATCAGACTTTTGAAGACGATATCAAAGCTGACTGCATTGTTTATCCAAACTCTTCTGATACCATGACGCAAAAAGCTTTCTCCACGAACAACATTCATCTCCAACTGCATCGATATGCCGCTGGAGCTATTCAGAATGTACTTTGGAAGTACTCTGTAACCTGTGGTGGGAGTTGGCGGTATGCTTCAAGCTTTCCATCAACGATTAGATCTTCAAGAGTTGCCTTCTTGTATTCGTCGACCTCCCAGATATCGGCCCCAACCATTTTAGCTTGCTGGCCAGTGCCCCATATCTTGCGACAGTACCAAGCCAGGGTGAAGAGACTACCTGATTTGAGGCCTTCCTCGACTTCGGCGTTGACTCTGTCGAGGCTCAGGGAGGAGAGGCGAGGAAGAGCGCCGTGCTTCTTTTCCAACATAGTAGCAACATTCTCACCAGTGACCTTCAACTCCGAAATTGAGATTGACCTATTTTGAAGCTGAGCAATTGGCGTCGAAGTGAAGATAGCAGAGTATGCCGCGGCCACGTAGTTCCGAGTGCTAAACGTCACGTTGTTAGGCATTTGAATTTGGTCAGGTTTCCATACGAGCTGCGGCTTACCATAAGTCCACAACCTCCTTGGTGCTGTTCCCCGAGTATACGATTCTGTTACCGGGCAAGTCTATACCCATGCCACTATCATGTCAATGTTCCAGTCAGCCGAACTGAAGTTGAAACGCAAGCGATGGAGAATGATCATACGGAGTGTTCAGCGCAAACTCGGCAAAGTTTCCAAGCAAAACCATCGTCGTTGGTATGCCAGCAACGATAGAGGCTTCCTCAACTTGGCGCTTAGTCTTGTTGACGACGATCTTCAACCCTTGTTCATCGTATCTGCCCGCGAGCTCTGACGGCGAAAATAACTTGACTTGCGTCTTTGGTATGGCCTTGATAAAGGCATGCTGTCGCTCAACGCCTTCATGCCCGACGAGGGAGCTTTGAGATCGTCAGAGCTTTTGGTTGGGATTGGCTAAACACGCATGGTACCTCGAGGCCGGGGAGTACTTACATGACGATGTCAATATCATGTAGGGCATCGACTAGTGCTTCATCGTCGCTGACATCCACCTCCACAGTGGTGACGGAGGCGGGCAGGCTTGAGATATCGGACCCTGGCCGGTAAATAATTCGAATCGGTGCCCCTGAAGCGATCAAGGCTTCGGTTATCTTCGAGCTTGCCCAGCCTCGATGACCGTAGATGGCGATGCGATTGAAAGACGGCATACTGGGACGGAAAAACGAGGCCTGCTTATGTTACTTGGCCAAGTAATTCAGGGACACTTGTGCTTGCGTGAGAGAACTGGACAAACAAAGGAGAGGCAGCAAGGCAGGTTATCTATCAATTCACCAACGTACATCTATGTTTCACAGAATCCACTTGAGTCACCATCTGTGAGACCTGATTAGAAGCAAGATTGGTCATTCTTGGTGGTGGAACTATGGGGACCTTCCTGGTCTCCGGTTAACGAAAACGAGGTGCATCAGCCACTTGCCGCCTTCGTCATGGTAGACGATGATTCCCATGCACCCGACATCCCCGCTAGCTGTGTCACCAGCAGAAACCCCGGTTTCCCAACCGTATCTGTGCAACAAGACTGATTCAATTGGACAGTTTTGGGTGGATAGAACTATGGTGTTCTTCTGAGGAAATTCCGCTGTGTTGCGCTAATGGGGAACAGAACAGTGGGTGCGTTCCGACGATTAATAATTCGCGGGTATTAGTCAAAATTACACTACCCGGGCGTGTTTACTTCCGATAAATTGTTGTCTCCGTTCGCATCTGACTAGAGGGTCTATCTGCTATCAGGACTGGATCATTAGAGTCTGTCGTTCGTAATTCAAAGCGGTAGTTTTGCTCAGCGAAGAAGACAGTGAATACTCAAGATATTAAAACTTGCTTTACCCAGGTATTCACAGCTGCATCTTATACAGTGTGCAAATGGTCGGACTGACGCCCGAAACTTCATCTTCTCAAGACACTTTATAATATCTTAACCGTAAAAAGGTTTTTTATACGATAGGTCTTTATTATATAGTTACAAATAGGGGTATCGACGTTAAATATAAAGAACGGTTATTTATTAAAAGTAGGAAATAGGTACGAGGTTCGCCCTAAAATAGAAAATATAAGCGAGTATAGACTTTAAATAATTATATAACCGAGGTTATATAATATATAATAAGGCTATAAATAGTTAAAGCTATTATAATATACCCCCCTAAATAAATCCTTATTTAAAAAAAGCGCACTAAACTATTTATATTATTATAAAAAATATTACTAAATATATAAATCTAAATAATATTATATAAAAATCTATTTATAAAAAGAATTATAAAATAAATTATATTATATACTAAGTTATAAGTATAGGGTAAATAAGTAGTAATTTACTAGCTATATTTATTATTATAAATAATTTTAAAGCTTTTTTATTAATAATAAGTAGGACCGAGGGGTAGCTTTTTATTAACTAAATAATTAGCTTATAATTTAAAATAAGTAAGTAAGTAAATTCTTTATAACTACCTATTACTTTAACTTTCTTTTCTTTTTTTAACTTATATTTATATACTAACTATACGTATATACCCTTACTTTTCGCTTTTATACCCATATTTACGTATATACTTATTAATAAAAATAAAAATCGTAGTTAATAATATTATTTAAAATAAATACCTAAACATATTAAGGCTAAAAAGCGCGCTTATATTATTATAATATATAAAACTAAGTATTTTAAAACGATTTTAAAAAAGAGTAGCGGCTCCCCTATTTATAATAACGATTTATTTATAAATAAATAATACTTTTTTTATATTAAATTTTAATTAGTTAAGTAATAATATTATACTATAATTTTATTTTTAAACTTATTAACGTTCCTATTTATAAATAACGGCCTTCTAGTTAAAAAAGAGATTATTTAAAAAGTAAATAAAAATAAAGGTAGTTTAAAGCCCCCTCTCTTACTCTTTTTTAGTAAATATAAAGTAGTTCTTTATAAATATAATATCTTTTTTTTAACGTTATTATTTATAATTTTAATTCTTAATAATATACCCCTCTAATACCCTTAATACTAAAGGACTTCTCGAGCGGGTATTATTACTATTTAATATTAAATATTTAAGCTATATTAAAAGTACCCTTAATAAACGAACGGAAGGGTAGTACTTCCTAAGCTTAAGTACTAATAATAAATATATATATTATTAAGCTAATAAAAAGTCTAACTACGCTCCTTTTTAAAAATATATATATAAGCTAAGTAAAAAATTCTTATACTTTAAGTAAATAAAAAAAAAAAATCTAATAAAAACCTTATAAAAAGTTAGTTTTTATACGTACTTATTATTCTAAATTAATTATTAATTATTTTTAAGACTTAATTTATATAATAATAGCGTTACGTAAAGCCCTAATAATTAATAAACTACTAAATAAAATTAAAAACGAAGTAGCTTATATAAATAAAACTTTAATAAAAAAAGCGTTTATAAACGCTCTTTTTATACTTAAGGCCTAATTAAAAAAACTTATTAAAAAAGAGAAAGTACTAATTACTTCGTATATAAAAGCTAATAATATTTAGATTAAAATTAATACCCTCGTTAATATTTATATCTTTATAAGCGTAATACTTATATTAAAATCCTTTTTAAATAAATATATATTTACTTTTTTAAATAAGTAATCTTTTTATAACGACTTAATAAGGTTATTAAAATAATTTTATACTCCCTAATTATAAACTACGTTTATAAATTAAAAACCTAAGCCCCCCGGGGCGTTCTATTACTTCCTTAGTATTCCCTCGTTCTATATAACTATTCTTTATATATCTCTTATATTTAAAAACAATATAAAATATTTAAACTTTATTTATAAAAAGCTCTTTATAAAACTATTAATTAATATCTTATTTATTAATATATAAACTACTTTAAATAAGCTTTTTAAATATTTTTAATATAGTTATATATTCTAAATATTAATATAGTAAAAGTAAATTAAAATACGTTCCCCTTTTTTTATTATAAGCCTTATTATTTAATAATTATTATAATATTACGACCTAATATACATAACTAACCTAAAAACTAACCCGCCGGCCGCGGTAGCTACGATATATTATATATATAAATAAAATAAGGATATAGCTACTCCTCGCGGAATAAAAGAACTATAAAATAAGTTATATATTAATAAAATAAAAATTATTTTAGATTAGATTAATCTAATATAACTTAAAAGCTAAACGATTATTCTAAATTAGATTAATCGAGGATAACCTAAAAAATAAAAAATATATTTAAAAACAAAACTTATATATAATATAAACTTAAACTAAGCTTAAGGATAAACTTCTTATAACTTTTTTAATAATTAACTTAATATTAAATCTTATAATTACTTTTAACTATTTTTACTAAAAAACCTTTTTAATAAGATTATAATTAATTATTAAAGCCTTATTTATTTTATAATTTATAAAAATAACTTAAAAAAAGCTATTTATAACTACAATACTATTTACTTAGTTATTATAACCTTAACTTTTACTAATATACTTATTATAATTAGCTAGCTATAACATTTTAATTATTCTTATTTAATAAGTTTACTTTATAAAAACTAACTAAATAATATAAATATATCGATTATTAATAATAATAGTACTAAGTAACTTACTAAGGTAGTTATGCTTACTATTTAATAATTATATAATATAATACTTAAGTTTAAAAATAAGAACGAGTAGTTTTATACTTAGTTTATAATATCCCGACCTCCTTTAGTACTTAGAACTAAGTACCCCGAACTAGAGCCTTATAATAAGTCCCCGGATATACTCTAAGGATTCCTTACTCGAACTAGGGCTTATTTATACTATTATAAAACCTTTTTTATTATTAAAATAAATAAAGTTTACTACGTAGTTTCTTTTTTAAAAAAGGACGCCCTTACTTAGTTTAAACCCTTAATAAGAAACCACTTTAAAAATAACCGCTATATATAAAACAAAAATATTAAAAAAATCTTTATAAATTATATTAAATTTAAAAAAAAAATTAAAAAAACCTTTAGTAATCTTAATAAAGAACGAGTTATTAAATAAAAACTTATAAACTTTAAATAAAAAGAATTTATTAATAAGTACGCTTTAAAATTTTAATAAATTACTTCTAAACTTAACTAGGGTAATAAAATATTTATAATATTATTTTATTATAGCTTAAAAAAAGAAGTTAAAAATAAACTTTTATATAAAAAACGACTTAATAAGCTCTACGAGTATATAAATATAATAATTAAAATCGATAATTAACTTTATAAATAATACTTTAAGTATAAGGGTTAGAACGCTTAGAATAACTAACCTAAACTTAATATTAAAAAGAAGTATTAACTTTTAATAATTACTACGGGCTATTATAATAAATCTATAGATCTTAGCGTTATTAAGAAGGAACAGCCCTATTAAAAAAAAGACTTTAAATATTATAATTATAATAAGCTAGGGTATATAATTAAAAACTATTAATAACCTAAATATATCTAATACTAGCCTATTTTAAAAAAACGAGTTAATATTACGAATAAAAAAGTCCCTTATAGATAACTCTCTTAAATAACTTATTATAATAATAACTATTTTATTTACTAAAATAATAAAAAATGAATTAGTTAGTATTTAAAAAAACCTAAAAATAATAAATAAATAAAATACGGTATTACTCCGCTACTTATTAAAACACTAGCTATTATAATTAAAAAAAAAATCCTAACTAAGTCTATTTATATAATAAAACGAGAAGACGGTAATAAGAAATTTATTTATAAAGTTAAAGAATAATTTAAAAATTTATTATATAAAAATAAAATTAAAATAATTAAAAAACTAAACCTCGATTTTAAAAAAGTCGAAAGAAAAATTAATTTCTAACTTAATAAAAAACCCTACGCGGGCCTAAGCGAATTTATTTTTAATAAAAAATCGTTATATAACTTAAATAAACCTCGTAACGTTGCTTAATAACATATTTAAATAAAAATTAATTATAAATCTTATTTTAATATTAATAATATTAGTTTTAAAAAGGATTTTAATAAGAATTAATATAAGAATATCGACCTATTTAATAATAAATAAATACTATAATTTTATAAAATAGCTAAACTTAAAAAGGTTCTTATAATACCCTAAGTAAAAAGA